AACCAATCAGATTTCCTCTCTGTAGACTCCGACTTCAAAAAAGAAGCAAGACAGTGAAATCATTAGCAGAAAAAAACAGAAGCGAAAAGATGCAAAAAGAAGGCCAGAACGTAAAGGCCAAGCATGAGTGAGGAAGCCCCTGGGCTCAGAGGGTCCTGGGCAGCTGTGCCAGCTGACATTCTCAGCTCAGATCCCCCAGCTGCTAGCATCAGCCAGAGGGGTGAAGGACTCAGGCTTTGAGACAGATGGAGCCACGTCCACCACCTGACTGCAACCACCCGGGACCCAAAGCAGGAACCGCTCAGCTGAGCCCAGGCAACCCACAGACCCACGGGAAGTAGGATCTCAACAGCTGTGAGTGTTGTTGCGATCATAGAATGACGTTGTTTTAAATTTGGGGCCCTTTGTTGTTTTGTGTTTGCAGCGCTGGGGATGGAACCCAAGTTCTGTGCATGCTAGGCAAGCGCTGTACATTCCTGGCCCAGGGACAGTTTATTACCCGCCCGTGCCTGCTCCGGAAACTGTCGCTGCAGGCCAAGGATGAGGAGAGCCTCTGATCACCTCCCAGCTGTCACAGTGAGTCCTGCCCTGCCCACTGTGGGCTTCACGTCTTGAACTCCTCTTCTTCCTGCTCCTCGGCTTTTAGCTTCTGATCTCATTAAGTCTTTTGCCATCTGTGTCCCCTCCTCTCTTCACCTGGATGCCAGGCTCGGGGGTGCGTTCTTGGTTTTGCCGTCTCAGCAGAGAAAGCCCCGCGCTTTCCTTTTTGAGAGCACGGTGCACGGCGCCCCCTGGTGTTCACTGGCTGCCCTGGATGGGTACCACTCCCAGCCCAGCCGGCCCAGAGGATCCAGTTGGGAGCTGAGAACATTGGTTCCAGATGTGAAGTCTTGGAGAAAGAAAAACATCAGAGGGGCAGGCCCGGGTACTCTAGGTCTGTTTATCTTCACAGGTTAGGGTGGTGGAGGTTGCAGGGGGGTTTGGTCAGTGGGCCCAGTTGTGGGAAGCTGGATGTGATAGACCCATGTCCTTTTGTTCTTTTCAAGGCTAAGCAGATCTCTCTAGATGATGGTTGCTAACAAGCCCATTTATTTATAATAGTCACAATTTCACAGATCGGTATATAATCACACGGCAGTAATGACAAGCTGCCATTTATTAGCCTTTCCAGTGCCAAGTGCTGTGTAAAGTGATTTATGTGCATTATCCCATTTAATCTGCACAATGATCCCATGAGTAAGTACAATTATCATCCCCTTTATCATAGACCAGACAGGCTGAGCAACTTAGCTAAGATCAAAAAGTAAGTAAATGGCAGAGATAGAATTAAAACTCAGGTTAAGAACCACATGTGGTCAGGGTCGTGCAAGTTAAGCTCAAGATTACAATCTTCTTTATTCTTATTTTTTTGTGGTGCTGGGAATGGAATCCTGGGCCTTGCACATGCTGGGCAAGTGCTATACTACTCAGCTACACTCCCAGCCCACAATCTAATACCATTTTGCATCCATTATATTGGTAAAATTAAGAAGATTGATTATATCAACTGTTGGCTAGATACAGAGCACCAGAACTGCTCATGCACTGCTTGGGAGGAGGGTCAATGATGACCCCCCTTGGAAAACAGGTTTCTTTGTAAACTTCAGTGTTCACGTTCCTCCAATTCCATTCACAGCTGTCCCTTCTAGAGACTCTTGTACTTGGGCACCAAGAGACATCAACAAGAATGATACAGTGACATTGGTAAGAATAGCAAATAATTGTGTGAGTCGGGGACAGGTGGGAGTCAGAAACCACATCGGTTTTTTTTTTTTATCACAGAGAATTTAATATAAAGAAGTGTTAACTAGGTATAGAGTTGTTAACTGGGTGACTGAAGGTTATAAAAAGAACATTAAGGTAGCAATTACAGGAAGCATCTACCACCCCCAGGGCTGAGGGAACATAGAAAAGAAGCTGAAATTATATAAAGCTTAAAAACTCAAGCCTGCTGTGGTGGTGCATGCCTGGAATCCCAGCAGCTTGGGAGGCTGAGGCAGGAGGATCAAGAGTTCAAAGCCAGCCTCAACAATAGCGAGGCACTAAGCAACTCAGTGAGACCCTAAATAAAATACAAACAAGGGCTAGAGGGGCTGGGGTTGTGGCTCAGTGGTATCGCTCCTGCCTTGCACCCATGAGGTCCTGGATTCTATCCTCAGCACCACATAAAAATAAATAAGTAAAAATTAAAGATATTGTGTCCATATACAATTGAACAATATTTTTAAAAAAGGGGGGGTGGGGAGATGTGGCTCAGTGGTCAAGTGGCCCTGAGTTCAATCCCTGGTACAATCCCCCCACCAAAAAAAAAAAAAAAACCTCAGAGGAGGAGGAGCCCCGTGGGGCCTCAGCTGGCTACTCTGCGCTCTGTAGTGCCCATGGGGCGGAGACCTCCACCCTGGAGAGGGCTAGTTCCCTGGAAGGAGGTGCTGCTATGAGGGGAAGCGGCATTGATAGAGGTTGTTCATAGGAGCAGGAAGGCCACAGGGAACAAAGACGGGGCCTTTCTCTCTCCTGCCTTGTGGTCTTGATGTAGGATAGATGAGGCTGGTCACCTGAAGAATTAGCAGGGAGCAGGTTTATTTAAGCTGCAGCAGTCCAGAGGGGCTAATGACTAAAAATCTCTGGACCCTGAGTCTGAAAATTCTTGTAGATTTATACCCAGTGTGTGTGGGGGGAGGTGGGATTTACATAGCAGTGGGTGGTTACATGGAGGTAAATTTTGTCCCATATTCCTAGACTAGACAGAGGTTTTCACAACAAAAACAGTAGTAGTAATTTGGGGGCAATGAGCTTGCTGGCAGATCTAGTTTTTACAAGAAAGAGAAACTGGGCCTTTACAAGTCAGGGAGCCGAGACCACACTGGGCTTCCTGCAGAACTCCTGTGATGCCCTTGCAAAATCTTGGTGACAAG